GATTGTGCCATTACACTCCAGCCTAGGCGACAAGAGCAAAACTTTGTCTCAAAAAATTAAAAATAAAAACTAAAAACCAACAAAAATTTTAAAAATTATTCCAACAGCATTTTGCATGTTAAAAAAAAAAGATGTCACCTCTTTTCTCACATTTATTTCTTTGTCCCCCTCTCTCCTTCCCTCCATGTTCCTCACACTGTCATCCCCACCTCAGGGGAAGAGGGTGCAGAGACAGATCCCGAGGCTGAGCCGGAGCTGGAGCTGTCCGACTACCCCTGGTTCCACGGGACACTGTCCCGGGTCAAGGCTGCTCAACTGGTTCTGGCAGGAGGGCCCCGGAACCACGGCCTCTTCGTGATCCGCCAAAGTGAGACTCGGCCTGGGGAGTACGTGCTGACTTTCAACTTCCAGGGCAAGGCCAAGGCAAGTGTGTTGGCGGGGCCGTGGGGGTGCAGTGGCCAGCCCTGAGGGAGAGGGGTCATGGTGACCCCGGTCCTAAGGCTGTGCCTCGGAAGCAGCTGCAGGCGAAGCGGTGTGGCATGACTTCCCATGGGCCCCGCTCACCCCAGCCATGCTCCGTGAACCACCTGCGTCCCTCCTACACATCACTGAGGGACTGCAGTCAGCCCTATTTCAGCCTCTCCGTTCTCCAGAAGGGGATCTCCTAGCACTGGATCTTCTGAGGGTCTCCACCCAGAGGTCCCGCAGTGCGGGGCTGGAGCCAGCCAAGGCCCTCAGAGCCCCACCTTCTGCCCCACCCCCGCCAGACAGCCCCTCCTCCCTGCACAGGTCAGGTCACCAACCCGAGAGGCACTCACGGGCAAGCCCTAGAGACCCACCAGGGGAGGAGGACCTGGGCTGGGTGGGAGAGCTGTGCAGGGTCTGGGGGGTGGGGTTCAGCATCGGAGGGGACAGCCTGATCAGAGCCCTGCAGGGGAGGGAGAATTGTGGAGGGGAAGACAGGCGGGAAGGCGATCCCAACAGCGCCCAGCTGGATCAGAGGCATAATAGTACACCCAGGCGGTGTGCTTTCAAGGAAGAGGGTTCTGTGCTATATTAACCTAAAATGCTTTGGTTTTTTGTTTTTGTTTTTTTTGTTTGAGACAGTCTCGCTCTATCCTCCAGGCTGGATTGTAAGTGCAATCTCAGCTCATTGCAACCTCCACCTCCCGGGTTCAAGCGATTCTTGTGCCTCAGCCTCCCAAGTAGCTGGGATTACAGACACGTACCACCACACCTGGCTAATTTTTATATTTTTAGTAGAGACGGGGTTTCACCATGTTGGCCAGGCTGGTCTCGAACTCCTGACCTCAGGTGATCCCCCCGCCTCGGCCTCCCGAAG